CGTGACGGTCGGGAGAGGCGCTGCTGTGCCGAGCCTGACGTTGTGGATCCCGTCGCACTGCCCGTGGCCCCGCAGTTTGAGCGGCGCAACGTGATTTACCTCGCCGCGACGCTTGCGCAGGAGCTATACAGGCTTGCCATGTACCTCTCCGCCTGCTCCGTCGGTGAGGCCCACGCAATCATTTCGGGCCCGCACAAAGCTGCCGCCGCCGACGTGCTGCGCTGCACACTCGTGACGTTCGACATCAAGCTGAGGTCGTTGAAGCTTTTCGAGTGGCAGCAGACTGTCACGCAGGACCTCCCCCGTACAGGGTGGGTTTTTGTGCTTGGCATCTTCAGCACCGACCTCCCCCTCATTTTGGGCCACGTTGCCGCGCACCTGGACCTGCACGTTCTGATGTCGTATGCCGAACACAATCTTCGGTGCTTGTGCTTTGTTCGCAGGGAGGCGGACGGTGCCACGGACCGCGTTTTTTACGCGACGAGCCTGCTGCACTGGGCGGACACGAAGTCGCAGGTGAAGATTGCGCGCAGCTACCACGCTGCCGTGACGAACAGTTCCCGGTGGTCGCCGCTGGGGCTGAGGGGTTTTGTGGTTGTTTGTGCGATGCTGGCCCTTTCGGAGGTGACGGGCGGCATCACGTTCGAGCTGCTCCTGCAGGCACTCTACGTGTACAGGATGATTTTTGTGGGGGCTGGCATGACGCTTGGTTTCTTTGCGTCTCTGCACCCCCCGGTGTGCGGCGACTCTTCTCATTGTCTGGTGAACTACGGTGCATTCGACATTGCCCTCTGGTCGATGTCGCGGGTCGCTTGATCCCTCGGTTCCTCACGTCCCATCCCCAGAGACGCCACCAATGAGGTACGTAGAGTCCGCTGAGCGCGGGCTGGCGATGGCGCAGCTGATCGGCATCATCGTCGCGGTGGTGCTGCTGTGCTGCTGCTGCGACTCGCGGAACCACGCGAATGCGCCGAAGGAGCCGACAGACCCTGTGACGCTCGTGTTCACTGACATTGAGAGCAGCACAGCGCTGTGGGTCGCGTGGTCCGAGTTGATGCCCGACACCGTGGCGACGCACCACCAGCTGATCCGCGCGCTGATCGCGAAGTACAGCAGCTACGGGGTGAAGACGATCGGCGACTCGTTCATGATAGCGTGCAAGAGTGTGTTTGCCGCCGTGCAGCTTGTGCGCGAGCTGCAGCGGGTGTTTCTGCAGCACGCGTGGGGGACGAGTGTGCTCGACGACGCGTACCGAAAGTTCGAGGAGGGCCGGGCGGAGGAGGAGGAGACGAAGGGGTACGTGCCGCCGACAGCGCGCCTGGACGCCGCTGTGTACCGGCAGTACTGGAGCGGTCTGCGGGTGCGTGTGGGGGTGCACACCGGGCTGTGCGACATCCGGCCCGACGAGGTGGGGAAGGGGTACGACTACTACGGTGACACGGCGAACATGGCGGCACGCACGGAGAGCGTGTGGAACGGCGGGCAGGTGCTGCTCACGCGTGCAGCGTACATTGTGCTGAGCACGGCGGAGCGGGAGGAGGTGGAGGCGACTGCGCTGGGTGCGGTGGCGCCGCGTAGGGTCGAGTGGGGGGCAGAGTTTTGGTTCCGTTTTGCGACGGTTACTGCGCTGCGCTGGTGGCAGCCACTGGGTGCCAATCCGTTGCGCCCTTTACGGGTTGTGCGGCTCGGGCACCGCGGGAGTTGTGCGTGGGCCCCGCCGGTATGCGTCCGGCTGTGGTGCGAGGGGCGGGGTGGGGGGTGCGTATCTCTTCTTAATTGCCGGAGGGGACTTTGTGTGCTCACTCCCACAGCACATGTGAGGCACATGAGTTCGGTGTGGCTTGCCGGTGGCGCCTCGCTGCGCCGTGGTCGTGTTTGCGTCTTCCCTCTTCTGACGGGTCGCCTTCACCGGGTTCCGTTCACCCCTCATGTGATTTGCACGGAGTGAACGCACGTGTTTTTCCGCGTGCGTGGCGGTGGCAGTCCGAATCGGTGTTGCAGGTTGCGTTTGCGTGCGCTGCGGGAGGGTGCGGCGGTGGCGTTGGCTATATTTTCAGGTTTGTTGTTTGTTTGCTTGTGCGTTTGCTGCTTTTTGCCTGGCCACACGTCGTGTTCGCCAGAGTGGGGTTTTGTTTGCT